GCTTGAATGATTGTTTGGTTGCATTTTTTGAATGAAGACATGAAAAGTGGCTGCTTTTGGGGTTTTTTGAGTTTTCCTTGATTTTGCTGTTTGGATTTATGTTTAAAACCGGAAAATGCTAGATGCACACCCCCCCAATCACACTCCCAATCATACTCCTCTCTCGTTACAGTGCACTGGGTCCACATGAGAATTTAAAAAAAAATTCTCATGTGGACCACAGTGCACTGAGGGGGGTTAGTCACTTAGAACTTAAAACTGGAACTGGTATAATCTGTAGGATAAATTTTTAAGGTGTTAGTCACATAGAATTAAGAAGTAGGATAATTTTTTATAGTGTTAGTCATGTAGAACTTTTGTAGAACTAGAATTATATTATTCTTTTGATGCGTTAGTCAAGTAGAATTCTATTAGAATTTTGTAGAACTAGAATTATATTATTCTTTTGATGCGTTAGTCAAGTAGAATTCTATTAGAATTAGAATTGGGATAATTTCTAGAATTATATTATTCTTTTGATGCGTTAGTCAAGTAGAATTCTATTAGAATTAGAATTGGGATAATTTGTCATAATTATCCCACTAATTATACTACCTATATATATAACCATCGGTTCACCGCCCTAAAATTATCCTACACATCGAAAAGAATAACAATTGGCAAAAAAGTTCTCCGCCCTAAAATTTCACCGCTTCCCTTCGAAGAACAGCTCTTCCGTACCCCTCCCTCTGGTTAATTTCCCCGCCCTAGTAAGAAAATTTCCCCGCCTCTCTTCTCTCTGAGCCTCTTCCCTTCTAGTGCGTCGTCTCCGTCGTGTCATCTTCTCCGACTTCATCAACTCCTTCGGCGCCATCAACGAGATCAGGTAAAATTATAAAATTTTAAATTGTGGCAAGTACTATTGTACATGATTAAGTGAAACTAATATATGGTTAAACAACGATCTAGCGAGGGCATAAGTATATAACTTCAGTGCTTTGGATTTTAAATGAAGTTGATGATCAGGCCTTTCATTTGCTTGTAATTAGATCAAAAAATCGATTCCTTTTTCTAATTAGATCATGGTACACAAGCTTTTATGATTAGGGTTTATATGAAATTAGGGCTTATGTTGCAATCGACAAAAAATTCAGAACGTCTTGTATATGATACACAAGCTTTTAGGGTCTACATGATATGCACGCTTTTATAATTGGAACATGATACTGCTTAAATATATGATATTAAGCTTCCAATAGTTTAGGTCTCTGTATTCAAGGGCAACGATGTCATAGGCTCTTGTTGCTTCTTCTTGAGTGTCTGCAAATTTTTATCCGGAAACAATCGGATATTAGTATCAAGAGGATAAGTGTGAAATGCTTGTGATTGCCAAATTGTCTACATCTGATATTGTACTATGGGTTTTACACTTAATTATGCATTACATTTTAAAGTTCTGGTCAATTTCCTCTAGCACACAACATTGTAATAAGGTCTGTTTAGATTCAGCTTACATTGACAACTAAACCAACTTGATTTCTAGTAAGTCAAAATTGTTTGTATTTGTCTATCAAAGGGAGAAAGAGCTTCATTAGTTCAGAAAAAAATAATTAAGCATAAAAATGTCAAATGATATTTAATCAAGACATTTCAATCTAATAACCTTTGATATTTTGAGACAAACTAGTAGAGAATCAGTTGTGATCAAGAGTAACTTGTATAGATGATACAAATATGCAACATATCACACCATCTCAAAGATCAGCCCTTAGGTCCTAAAAGTTCAGGTGTAATTATGAAACAAAGTATCTGATTTCTATTACAATTGCTTGCACAATAGAGGAAATTATGAAACAAAGTATCTCATTTTTAAGTTCTTGCAGTCTCCTTACATGGTCAAGTTTGATAATATTACTTTTGATTAAAAAATCTGTAATACTTAGAATCGCTACCAACTTGAAGGCAAAGATCTTTTTTGGATATTGTTTCGACTACCTTTGTGTAGCTAGGTTGGTGGAGGCACTCGGTTGTATAAGGGAGTTCTTTCTATTATTTTGCCACCTCTGAACATAACTTCCTTTAGTTGTCCTAGCCTCACTACTTATTGGATCTAGTACCCGCTCTGTTGTTGCTCTGAGGATCATGTTTTTATCCCAACCTAGCTGGTATGTCGTAGGATCTCTTTGCATGCTTGATCAGATCTTTCCAAGTATCTGATTCATGGCTTCCATGTTTGCTATGAGGTATCAAGTTAGGCATCTTGACATGGTTCAATAGCCACCTCTGTAGACATCCTAACTTTGAGCTCTAAATTTTGTTTATTGAACCTCTTGATGAAAGTTTGCACATTTTCTCCTAGTCAGATAAGGGGAACCTGATAGCTTCTTTAAGATACATAAAAGAAGCTCTAAGTTTTAAGATACCAAAACTCAGTCTAAGGAATATGTGTATGTACAAATATCTATCCATCCTTGTAAATGGAAATCGGTAGTAAAGGACTGACAAATGAAATCACAGATAACATATCGAGAAATTATACATTTACAGTTTGTAGTAAAGGACTGACAAATGAAATCACAGATAACATATCGAGAAATTATACATTTACAGTTTTTCATGCAGTGGAAACAAGTCAAAAATCAGATAACATATCGAGAAATTATACATTTACAGTTTTTCATGCAGTGGAAACAAGTCAAAAATCCTGCACTATGCTAGTAGGAGAATGGCTTTCTTCTTTTTGATTTATAAGTGGAAAAGTAACTAGGTTCATATATGAGAAAACATCAGACAGCCGCCAAGATAAAAGCTTTGGTTTTAAACGATTAATAATTGTCTCATATGCATGCAATTACACACTACTTAATGTAGCATTACACATTTCAAACACAAGATTTTCCTGACTTCATATATAAGTTCCAAGATCACCTATTAAACATGTTGAGAGCCAAAAGAGCTGAAAATTGTTTTGTCATTCTTGAACCGTTGTCATTGTTCTGTAATATTTTTTGTTTCCTGTTGTCATTAGTAAGCATGAAGGGCCATAATCCACACAAATAAAGCAAACAACATGAACGTTCACAACCACAAACGAGACAAGGATTTTACATGGATCAGCTAAGGGCAATTTGGTAGCCTACAATTGGAGGGTTGTATGGGCCACTTTATCAATTGCACGCTTGATTCTTTGTAATATACTCGAAGAAGTTTTTTTATGGTCTAATATGTTTAGAAAGCATTATTGGATATCAGGATGCTTGTTCTTTTTATATCAGATGCATTTATATTTTAATCCAATTCCATATTTGAGATTTTGAAAAGTTATTTTTGAATTTGTTATAGTATGGACATAAGATCACAGAGTCAGGATCAAGAAGAAATATTTCGAGGTCTAGAAAGTGAGGGACAGAAAAGAGCAATGATGGATTATATGACATGGACTGAAGCAGAGGCTAACGAATTGCTTAGACTGTTAGTAGAGGAAGTTAAGAATGGAAATAAGCAAGCAAATGACAGTTTTAAAAAGTATGTGATTCTGAAGAATGTGATACCCCCTCTAGTTGAAAATTTTGGAAAAGATTTTAGATATAATCATGTAATGAACAAGATAAAGCAATGGATGAGAAAGATTGCACCTGTGGAGATCGTGATGAAAAATAACTCTGGTTTTGGTTGGGACCCTACCACACAGAAATTTACAGGTCCCGACGAAGTGTGGAATAGCATTTTAGAGGTTGGTTTATGTCATGTTTCATATATATTAATTTGAACATAATATTAATTATTTTCATATTTCATGTTTTAGGCACGTCCAAATACTCCAAATCTCAAGGATAAACTTTTCGAGAATTTTGAGGATATATTGATGGTATGCGGAGATCATGGCGCTTCTGGCAAAGGAGCTATAGGTTTAGGTCCTGATGGCTTGGATGAAGCACGCTTAGAGGAAGTGGTTGGGGAGGGCATACTTGGTGCTGATGCTGAGATGGAATCTCCGGATAGAGGAGATGCTACTATAGATATGCAACATGCTACCACCGTTCCTAGTGATAATGTGCCATTTTCTGGTTCTGGACCATCCAATCTGAATAATGGTAAACGAAGGCGTAGATCAATTGGTACTGCAGCCACATCCTCTGCATCTTCCCAGTTATCGTTGCAAGAGGTAGGAGAGGGAGTTGTCACTGTAGGTAAAGCTTTTCATGAGTTAGTTGATGAGTTGAGGAAGATAAGAAAAGGTCGGAATAAAGAATGGGTTGATGCTGTTATGTCTACTTCTGAATTGACTAAGCCACAAAAATGGAATATACTCAGTGACAATATCTCACAGGACATGAAGGATGCCTTTATTGACATGGATGCAAAAGACCGCTATGAGTTTCTACATTTTAGGTTGACCGGTGAGATAATGAATGATGGTAAGGATGAGACTCAAACCAATTCTGATCCAAATGGTGAAGATTATGATTCTGATTTCTTTGAAGATGTTTAGAGGCAGTAATTTAGAAGTTTAGGATATTTATATGTTTTTTAAGATTTGTTATGGTGTTAGGATTCTGTGAAATTTTATATTGTCAAATTATTTTTCATTGAGTAGGTGGAACTTGGAATAATGTCATGTTTTTTTTAAACATTTGGAAAGTATTTTTAGGATCAATTTTATTTTAATTTGTCAAAACTATTTATTTTTAGGATATTGCTATGCTTTTATTTATTTGTTTATATTATGTTCTTATGTTATTTGACTTGTCAGCTATCTTAGTTTGGTGCATTTAGTGGATGAAGTTTCTATTATATGTATCATCCCAACAAATGATTCTTGCATGTGTAGATGAGAGTAGTGCAATATTATGTTTTCTTCTATTTTTCAGTAGTTTGGTGATTAACGATTAGCATACATATCAACATTTTTTAATTGATTGCTACTTTGTTAACAGTCTCATAGAGTGCTTTATTTATTTCCTATGCACATAAGTTTCATGTAAATTGATTATATTTTATTGGTTATATTATTTAATAGGATGGAGGAAGATCAAAATTTGCCCATTTTATATTTTCATCATGAAGACTTCGATGATAATCTTTTGATTCGCATAATCGAATTAGCTGCTGAGGCTGCAAATCTGATCATAAAGGTATCAGGGTGTCTATCACAGGAGTTCATAGCAAATACGCTTAATTTTCGAAGTCCTCGACGTGGTATTACAGATCTTAGTCTCACATACTTACAGTCCAAGATGGATAATCATCCTCAAGATTTTCGTAGAATTTACCGAACGTACCCAGATTGCTTCATGAAGTTATGCAATATCTTGAGAGAGCGGGGCCATATACAAGACACATACCACATTTGTGTTGAGGAGATGATTGCTATTTTTCTTCTCACGGTTAGTCAAAATCAACGAAACTCTGTTGCAACTGATCGATTTGATCGTTCAAAATAGACCATCAGTGTATGTTTCAATAAAGCATTACATGCCTTGTATCTTTAGCATCATGCTTGATGGCATCACCCCCTACTGATCCACCTGATAAGGTTAAATCAGAATCTTGCTTTTGGCCTTATTTCAAGGTAATTATTATTGCTTTAGAATTTACACACACACAGACACACACACACACACGTGCACACATGCGTGTGCACCCCCACACACATCACTTGAGATGGTCTGACACATTGATTATTCAGGACTGTATCGGTGCAATAGATGGGACTCATATACCGTGCATGGTGTATAACATAGATCAGACGCCCTATCGAAATAGACATGGTTTTCTCTCTCAGAACGTCTTGGCAGCTTGCACATTTGATCTCAAATTCATTTATGTCTTAGCTGGGTGGGAGGGTTCTGCTAATGATGCAAGAGTCTTGAAGGATGCAATGAGTAGACCTTATGGACTTCCACTTCCACAGAGTAATAATCTTTACTAGTATTCTATCAATTAAATCATATTTTTTAGTTTTACAATATTTTTCTCACATATTTATATTCTTGTTTGCAGATAAATTTTATCTAGTTGACTACGGCTATCCAAATAGGCTACAATTTCTTGCTTCATACCGAGGTCAAAGGTACCATCTTTCAGAGTTCGGTCTTGCTAATAATCGACAACGACCACGAAATTCAAAAGAAGTTTTCAATCATCGGCATGCGTCTCTTAGAAATTGTGTCGAGCGCATCTTTGGAGTTTTTAAGTCTAGATTCACTATTTTCAAGAGCCAACCTCCTGGTTTTCCGTATGCCACACAAATAAAGATGTTCGTTGCATGTGTAGGATTGCATAACTTTTTAAGATTGGAGAATACAAATGATGACTTCGACATTTATGATCTTCCACTAGAAGCTTCACGAAATGTTGCAGATGCAAATGATGACTCCGATGAAGAAGATGAGTTACAGACTCAACAGACTCAACGAGCAGCTGCGGGAGCTTGGAGAAATTCTATGACAGAGGCCATGTGCGATGATGTAAGTCGAATCACGCTAGGAATTTAGATTTTTATTTAGTTGTAAAATATTTTATTATTTGAGATGAATAGTGATGCTTTATTGCATTATTTTATAGTTATTACTAGACTAATTAATTGCTTATCAATCTTATATTATTTTTAATATACAATTATTAACAATAATAATTTATACTCACTGTTACCCCCACCAAATTATCCCCTTCACAATATTATCCACCATTATCCCACCAAATTATCCTACCAAATTATCCAACTTCAAGAATTATCCATCATTGTTCCACTAAATTATCCTAGTGTTAAAAAATTATCCCACTTTACCAATTATCACAGTTCTACTTAAAAAGTTCTAAGTGATTAACCCCCGAGAAGAGTGTAATTAGGGATGTGGTTAAAGTTGTGCCGGTAGCGTCACCCTTTAAAACCAAAGAAAATTAATGATGCGTCAATTACAGAGCTGACGTGTTAGCGCACTTAAAAATCAGCAAAAATTGAACCGATTTAGCTGGAAAGCTTGACATTGTTAGAAAAAAATACCTGTAAAGCATAAAAAAAATACCGATTTGGCTGGCGTTTCTATCCTCCCCGCGTCAAGTAACCGATCGATCCCTCAACCGGTCAGGTCATCATGCCTTTAAAACCTTGGGGAAAAAAAAAACTCTCCCCATTCCCCTCCCTCCTCTTCCTCATCCTCAAACCCCAAAACAAACCCTAACCCTAAATCCCCCAACCCCCCAAATCCCCCAAATTGAGATCGAAGCCGAAGCCCTCGACGATGTCCAAGGACCACCAGCCGCAAGCGCAAGTCCTGTGACGCCAATGTCGACGACGCCGTCACCGTCCTCAACGCCTCCATCGTCTTCAGATCCAAGCACGGTGGCAGCACCTAAACCCCGACCACCATGAAGCCCGTCTTCGGCACCGTCAGGGGATCGCTTCACCATGAGCTCACATTCAGCCAGCTCTACAACAAGTTCAGAACCCTTGAGCATCAGCAACATAGGATCGTGCAGCCCGGCGTGGGCCGCACAGAATTCGATCGAGCGTTTTCATCTGACGCTCTAGTAGTCTGAATCTTTGATGATTTTTTTTATCGGCCGTTGGAAAGTCCGCAGAAGGAGAGGAAGGAGATCATGGAGTGATGAGGGTCTGTTAATAGATTGGAGGCAGGTGGATGGGTCTCTCGAGAAAATCAACGAAGGTGATGGAAAGTTTGTTCAGATGGGAAAAGAGATGATTATTAAGATAATCAGAGATTAGTGGATAAATTGATCGCTGCAGGCAATTTTTATGAGCTTTATGGTCCATTTTTCACATTGATGAGCTGTATTATTATATGAATCATGACACATTTAGTTCCATGCATGTGTGCAGTCATACAGTTAGACTTGGATGTAAGAAATATAAATTAAATAATTCAAATCTATATCTATATCTATATCTATCTATACATACTACTGTAATAAAAAAAAGATTGATGTGTTAAAACTTTCAATTTCCTTTTTTACCCTCTCACATTATGATAAATTCTAACTATGCCATTATCACTAATTAATCTTTCATTAAATAAATATAACCTCTTATTACACTGCTAGAAATATGACCATTACCGATGGATATATAGCGACGGACATTTCTGTCGCTATAAGTTGGTCTATAGCGACGGAATTGTCTGTCGCTATATATCCGTCGGTAATGTTGTTATACCGACGGATAATTTAGTGTCTATAGCGACTGCTAAAAAACCGACGTTAATAAGACTTTTAGCGACGGTTTTTTCGTCGCTAAAAGTTAATTGTCTGAAAAAATTTTAGGGTGCGGGATTGCCCAAAAAATTTGGGCAAGTCCGCGCCCGGATAATTTAGTGTCTATAGCGACTGCTAAAAAACCGACGTTAATAAGACTTTTAGCGACGGTTTTTTCGTCGCTAAAAGTTAATTGTCTGAAAAAATTTTAGGGTGCGGGATTGCCCAAAAAATTTGGGCAAGTCCGC